CCCGGACGCCCGGAAGCGCGCGCGGCGCGGCGCGGGCGGCGGCTCCCCGGGCGAGGCACGGCGGGCACCTCCCCGGCGCCGAGAGGGCGAGCATCGCGGCTGGCACTGCCTGGCAGCCGAGTAGGCCGCCCGCGCGCGGCCCCGAGGGCGGCGCCCGTTTTCCGGCGCGGCGCGCAGCCCCTCCCGCGGGAACCCTTCCCCCGCCCCGGCACTGACCTGTCCAGGGCCCGGCTGGGCCTGGCCGGGCGGGGCCTACGCAGCCCCTCGGCCCGGCGTTGCCTCGCGCGGTGTCCCGGGCCCGGGCGGGCCGCTTCCTCTCCGCCGGGAGCCTCCGAGCCGGGGCCCGGGGCTGCCACGGCGCATCCGACCTCAGCGGCCTGGTCGCCTTCGACAAAGGGCAGTGGGGACGCTGGCCTGGGCTGGGGCGCTAGGCCGGGCTGCGCGCGCGACGGGCGCTGGAGGGCTGCAGCGCCGCGGAGACAATGCGGCGCGTCCGGAACGGCTCCTGGGCCGCCTCCGCCGGGGCGGGGCCAGGCCGGCGGCGGGGCGGGGCGGACGGCGGACGCGGGCCGCGCGCTTCCTTTGTGCGCCCGAGCCCCGCCCCGAGCCCTCCGGAAGGCGCTGCGGGAGCGCGGGGTATCGACCTCGGGAGGCCAGCGCGGGCGGGAGCACGGCTGGCCTCGCTCCCAGCAGAACAAGCTCAGGGGCGGGTGGCGGGTGACTCCCGCCTTGACAGCGATCTGTGGGGCCTCCGAGGCAAGCCTCGTAATGACGACCACCAATTGAGGGTTAGTGTGTGTCAGGGGCTAAGTGCACGCACCCTTTCCGTTATTGTTCACAGTAACCCTCCAAGTGGTCATTATCCTCCCCACTGGGAACAGCGGATCAGAGAGGTGAAGTAATGACTGAAGGGACCCCAGTCGTACTTCCAATAAGGGCGTAATCCCTACCCGTTAGGTTAATGTGAGGATTAACTAATCTACAAATTGCCTGCAGCGCCTTGCGCACAGTGGGAGCCCAATAAAAGCTAGTTTTCTACCCCAAACACATTGGTTGAACCTGAACTGTCCCTGCGAAACACCTTCATTAAACACGCTAGGAGGCGGGGGGTACAGAAGAGAACGTGACACACAATTCTCACCCCAGGTGCTGCTGCATAGACCACAGTGAACCTCTCCCCCATTCTTGACTCTTTCCCAGTATTTAACCATTTCTTACTTTTCTTAGCATTCATATTCATTCTCTATCATTCAGGCTCTTTTCCTCTCACCTTCTTTCCCCCTCCAGCCACATCTCTTTGTTTCCATGTCTTACATTTATTTTGTTTCCCGAATACTTTTTTTTTTTTGCACCATTCCCTCTTGCTCCTTTACTATTTTCCAAATTTTCAAATCTTCTTTTCATTAATATTCATATTCTTTTTCCCTCTCTCACTCTGCATTTCTTACACATATTTTGCTTTATAAACTAAGATAATGGGATAGAATACTAAATTTCTCTCCATTCCCCAGCCTACCCACACTTCCTGCTTCCCCACCTTAACTTCCACTGGTCCTGCCTGGAATACTCTTTCCCTAGCTTTGCATATCCAGGTCTTACCCATCCTTCAAGGTCTAAACTCAAGAACAGGAGCTGGCAAACTTTCTGTAAGGGACCAGAGAGGAACTATCTTAGACTCTGCAGGTCATATGGTTTCTTCCAGCTAACTCAACTGGCCATTGGAGTATGAAAGCAACCACACAGAATGTGTATAATGAATGAGTATGGCTGTGTTCCAACAGAACTTCACTCTGAACATAGAATTTTCACTACTATCATGAAATAGTATTCTTTTGATTGTTAAAATCATTATTAGCTTGCAGGCTGTATAAACACTGGCATTGTAATGAATGTGGCCCTGGGGCTGTGGTTTGCCTACTTCTACTCTAGAGCAATGCTATTTTCTCCCTGAAATCTATCCTGATAATCTCCACTTGGCAGTAACATTCTCTCTTGTAACTTAGGTAAAGCACTTACTCAAGATTCTCCCATGCCCTTATCGTGTTACAGCTTTCATTATAATTTCCTGTGCATTTTTCATCTTTACCAGGAGAATGGAAGCTTCTTGAAGGTAGGGTATAGATCTTATTTCTCTGTGTATTACCTCCCATCCCACAGTGCTTTTTCTCTTTGTGGTACTGAGGTTTGAACTCAGGACCTTTGCTTGCTAGGCAGGTGCTCTACCACTTGAGCCACTCTGCCAGCCCCACAGAGCTTTGCACAGAGCAAAATGCATGGGTATGCAAGTCCAGTGATTGGCAATTATTTCTACTATGCAAAGCTTACTTCTCTTATGAGATAGGACCTCAAGAGCAGGTGCTTGCTATGTGTTTATCACCTTGATAAGATTTTAGAAAGAGATTTTTGAGAGCTTTCTGGACAAGATGGAAGGCAAATGTCAGTTCATTTAGGAGGTGCTGAATAACAATACTTGAACAAAGATTGTTGATGACCAGCATTCTAAAAACAGTGCATGAATCCTCAGTTGGGTCCAACATTTCTATCAGAAAATTGAACTGGTCACTGGTGGCTCACACCTGTAATCTTAGCAGAGTCCAGGAGGATCGAGGTTCAAAGCCAGCCTGGGCCAAATAGTTTGTGAGACCCTATCTTGAAAAAAACATCACAAAAAAAAAGACTGGTAGAGTGCCCCAAGGTGTAGGTCCTGAGTTCAAACCCCAGTATCACAAAAAAGAAAAAAAGAAAGAAAGAAAATTGGTAAAAGACAAAACACTATGCAATTTATAGGTGGCAAAGGTAAACAGAGGAATTAGTATAATGGATTACAGAATTTAGATATAAGAGATTCCTGTCCTACCACTTACTTTCTCTGTGCCTTAGTTCTCTTATCTTTAAAATGAGGATAATAAAAAGTTCCTACCTTTTATTGGGTATTACCAGGATTAAAAGAGGAAATACCTGGAAAACCTGACAGTTTATTAAATATTAGCCATTAACTATCACTAATTTCTTCTTATGTTGCAACTATGGGTTAAATTCAAAAGATAATGTTTAGTAGATGTAACTAATTGTATCTGGGGTCAAAATATAAATTGTACAAGTTTGAGACTAAAGAGATCTGGCAAGATAGCAGCTCATGTAAAAAAGAAATCTAAAAAACAACAAAAGCATGTCAAAACTAAACTCGGTCCTCTGGAATTAAGTTGACACAGTGCCATAGTGCTATGTGAACCCACATTATTTCCATAGGTTGGAGGAATTAATGTGGTGACTTGTTAAAGAGAGATGAGGGAGCCACTGGAAGCCAGAGCCAGGCATTGCCTTTTCTCATCTGCATGAACTGGAGCCTCTCTCCAGGCTTTTGTTCTCCCTTTGAATAATGGGAATAATAACATTTGTCTATCAAGGGTATTGTAAGTGAGTAAAGAACTTAGAACAGTGCCAGGCACATAGTAGGTGCTCAAGAAAATTTTAGTTCCTTCCTACTACCACTCCATATGGATCTAAGAAACAGTCCTGCTTCTTAACAGGCTTATAAAGACTAGTGTTTTCTTTTTAATTTGGAAATTAATGTTAATTTTGGGGATCACAACTTAAGAGGATATTGATGAAAAGGTAGAATGTGGGTAGACAGGCATGACAAAGTGATGGAAATCTTGACGTACTATAGGGGAAAAAATGAAAGAAGTCTGGGGTCTTTAGCCTGGAGAGTTTCTCCTTTTTAATAGAAATGAGATACTAGAGACATAACAAATGTCTATAAACACTATATGAGATGGACTCTGTTACAGCTCATGAGACAGAATCACAATGATTGGTGGCCAAGTTCCAGAAAAGCAGACTTTGGCTTAATTGGAAGAGCAACTGTCTGATAATTAGAGCAATTCTATAGAATGGGAAATGGGATGCTTTTCTTTTTTCTTTTTCTTGCAATGCTGGGGATTGAACCCAATGCCTTGCACATGCCAGGCAAGTGCTCTTCTGAGCCACACCTCAGTCCCTGGGCTGCTTTTCAAAATGATGAGCCTCTTACTGAAAAAAGAGAATGGATGATCTCCTTCCTGCCTTTTAATTTCTCTGGTGCCCTTTCTCCATATTCTTTTGCCTTTCTTTTCCTGGATCCCATCCCCAATCCTTACAGGACCATATAACCTTTTCTCCCTACCTTGTCCCAAAGTATTTTTCTTCTCATTTCTCCTTCAATCTCCAAACTCTTTTTTCTCTTCCCTCTCACCCCACTCTGAGCATACACTTAGCATCATAATGAGAACTACCTCCCTGAGCTGTCAGTAGCCTGTGGCTCAGAATGTCACTGAGGTCTGGGCCCAGATTCCTGTGCAGGCTAGCACAGAGGGGAAGGAAAGCAAATGGATGGCTGCAGAGGGCGGAGGTACTGCTGTTACTCTCCCACGAGAGTGGAGTGATTCCAGCAGTCCCTGAATCCCAGGTTATGAGGAAGTCCATATGTAACTCACAGATAGACAAATGAGGACCCCATAGCTGAGCACATTTTCCTCAAGGATGCTTTTTGTGGCTGAGTCTCCTTCTGGTTCTTCTGAGGCAGTCCCTTATTTCTAAGATATGTCAACCCTCATATTTCCAATTGCAAGAATTCCTCATACTGAGTGAAGTGAAAATCACACTAGATACCTACCTCAGCTGAGCTGGCATATATATATATACACACACATATATCCAACACCAATGGCATGTGGCTGCAGAGGCTGGATCTAAAACTTCCAACTCTCCTTTTCTTTCTCTACCCTCTTATTCTTATATCTTCTAGGACCCCTTCTTTATCCCTGGCTCATTTCCTCCCTTCTTCCTACTTCCAGCTACCCAGTTTTCTTGTTGCCTCATTGGGCTTGCAGTAGCTTACCCTTCCATTTTAGATGTCCTAGTGAAATGTTATCAAGGGATGGAAAAGAAGCTGAGTCCCCTCCCTCAAGGGCCCCGCTATGCTTTATAGCTTCATACCGTGAGTAGGGGACTGCTGGATGTTAGGGTTCTTGGGTATAGGCAGGCCACCAGGCATGGCAGTGACAATGGATTGCTGGTGTGGTGATGGGCCTGGCCGAGCCTCAGGCACACTCTTCTCTACCAGTTCCGCTTCTTTCCAGTCATCAGGGCCACATTGCTGGGGCTGCAAGGGGCAGGACAGAGAGATGGGTCTTTTCATAAACAAACAAAATACACCTCTGTGTTCTTGGGTACTACGCAGGCTTCTATGGAACACGGGCACCAGGCAAGGACTTTAAGATTCAGTCATCCCAAGTTAGGGGAGCCCTCTCCTCTTCCTTGGAATACCCATAACTTCAACAATCAACCCACCCAGAAACACCTGAATGAGGCCACAAGACTATCTGAGCTGTGCTTCCCCACTGCTCTCTGCACCTTGGGATCAGCTTACTCACCACTGGTGAAGCAGGCTGTAGTTGTAAGATGACAGCTGAGGTGTGCTGGAACCTGCGTTGAGAGGTATGGGACATGCCCTCGGGAAGTCCATTTTGAGGTCCAGTGTCTGGTGTGGGAGGGTGGCACTGCTGACTGCCACTAGTCTTGTTCAGATGGGCAGTGGGACACTGGAGTGGCAGTGTGGGTGTAGGTGGGCCTAGTGGCATGGTGTGAGCTTCTGAGCCAGGCTGTAGGGCTAGGCTTGTGGGGGCTGAGGTGAGCTGGAGTTGGGACTGGGCTTGGGGCGCAGGCCTCGGTGGCTGTGGCTGTTGCTGCTGTGGCTGTGGCTGTGGCTGTGGTTGGATCACAAAATGGGGCTGCAGGTGCTTTGATGATGGCTGTGGGAGGAGCTGGTGTGGTTGCAGTTGAGCATAAGCTGCAGGGGGAAGGCTCAGGTTAGACAGCATGGCCAGATCTCGTCTGCCATGTTTCTCCCACACCCAAATACAAACATCTTCCTAACCTCAGAGTCTCTAGCTTTCATCCCTTTTACACTTCACCTGGAGCCTAGTCCAGTCAGTGCCAGGGCCCACCACCTTTTCTCTTATTCTCCAATTATACTAAACACTGTGTTCTTTGGGTTGCCCCTCCAAGTCCAACTTAAAACTCACCCTCTTCTGGAAAGGCTTGAGCATTTCAGCTGTTCAGAGAAACTCTGGATTCTAAGTGTGACACATTTTCTCTCTCTCTCTCTCATGCTCTATATTACCTGTTCACCATGCCTGTGAAATCTGTACCTTCCCCACTGTCCTATCCAGCTGTGCATGGCCAGTCTTGATCCACCCTTCTGGCTTTGCTCAGGTGGGGCCTCCTAGAAGAAGAGCCAGCAACACAGTAGTTCTCAGAAGGTAGCAGCAAGCAGAGCATGGCTGGAATACTGGTTCCTTTTGTTACAAACTGTGGGACCTGGGACAGCTACTTGACCTCTCCAGGCCTCCTCCAGCTCTAAACATTGGAAATAATTATAGTTTCTGTCCAGAAAGTTGTAAGGATAAAATGAGGAAAAAAAAGTGTGTGAATAAAATGAGAGAAAATGATATAATGAACATAGCATGGCTCCTGGCATATAGTTATGCTCTTATCTTTTCTGGCCAGCTATTATCAATATTGTCTTGCTGGGTGCTGGTGGCTCAAAACCTATCCCTAGCTACTCAGGAGGCAGAGATCAGGAGGATCGCGGTTTGAAGCCAGCCTGGGCAAATACTTCTGCGAGACCCTATCTTAAAAAACCCTTCACAAAACTAGGGCTGGTGGAGTGGCTCAAGGTGAAGGCCCTGAGCTCGCACCCCAGTACCGCAGTAAATAATAAATAAATATTGTCTTGGTTTAGGTTCTCAAAACATCTTTGAGATGGGCTTAACTTTGTCATAATAATGTTTCTTGTGGCAGGTTATGTTGTTTCTTACCTATCTTCCTTTTCAGATCAGGAATCCCCTGTGGTTAGAAACTACCACATATCTCTTTATCCAGAACCTCCAGTAGATGAGTTTGTTTATAAATTTATACATCCTATCTGGAATTTCTTTGTTCCCATTTATTGCCAGCTTTTCCTTCTTCCATTTAAGCCAGGTTAACTGAGGTAAGGATTTTTATATTTTTTAGTAATCCCTCAAGTGTCTAGCTCCTGTCTTGTCTATAATAAGGACTCAGGAAATTTATCTCACAGACTATCCTCACACAAATCACTGTCTAGTAACATCCAGGTCATCCTAGGATGACAGTTCAGCTAAGCTGTCCAGACTAGATGCTGCCCTTCACACAGTCTCCCACAGCTGGAGAGCCATGGCAAGAGGGTGTGCCAAGCTCACAAATGGACTGTTACTATCAAAGAAGGACAAAGGCAAAATCTGAGTCTCAAGCTAATACCTTTAAAGACTCCTATGATGTTACAAGTACAAAAATTCAAGTTGAGTTATGGGAGGTACATCTTTTCTTAAATGTTGTCTGTTTACATGCAGGTTTCCAACTGTCTCATCACAGACCAACATGCAATTCCAGGCAGTATGCCAATAGGAATGGAAAGGAAAGACTAGAAAAAGCACTAGAAAGGAAAAGCAAAATGGCCCTTAGAGCTGACTGTTAGAGTCAGCGACAGTGGGAATACAGACAGCCTGCCAGGTTTTAGTCTAGATGACAGTGAATGATGGAATTGGGCAACTTGGACATTGATGTGGTTTTAAGGGGAATGGGCTGGGTTTGAGGTGATGGTGGAATCTCCAGGGAAACTGCCAGTAGGCATTTGGCGATTATAAATTGTCCCTGACCCCAATCTAAGCTCTGTCTCCTAATCTCACATTGGCTAGGTCAGAGTTTAACTATCAACATAGACTATTCACCAGGCAAACTGAATCATTAGGTATTTTAAGAGCAGCTCTTGGTAGGACATGTGAAAGATATTGAGAGGCCATGCTGTGCCCTCAACATAGCTCCAGCTGCCAATGTGATCTGCAGATGACGGGTATTCTCACTGGAAATGCAGCCCGCCACCCCAGACACAGTCACTCCAGGGACTACCCATTCGAGGTAAGGGCTAGAGATGGTCCAGGGTGAGGGAAGCTATGACGATCAATGGTATGTCCCCCCACCTGCTGACCATGTGGCTCCAAAGTATTCTTCCTTTTCAGAGCTTCAGAGTGTTATCAATGGAATTAGATGTCTGGGCTGGGTGATCATACATCTCTTCCATCTTTAAAACTTGATAGGGAGGCTATACAAGGAAAATAGTTCTAAAATTCAGGATTTATAAGGTGGGAAAAAGAATGTTGAAGAGAAAAAAGGTCCCAAATTTATAGGACATAAAGAGTACAGGGCAGTGGTGGTGTACACCTATAATCCCAGCACTGGGGAAGCTGAGGCAGGAGGATTGTGAGTACGAAACCAGCCTGGGCTACATATGGAGACCCTATCTCAAAAAAATACAGTTGAAGCCATACTTGTTTGTTTTACCAAATGCTGTACTTTGGATCTTCAGTGTTCTAAAGGCCTATGTGTTGAAGGCTTGGATCCTAGGATGGAGCTTTTGGGAAATGGTAGAACCTTTAAGAGCTGCAGTCTAGTGGAGGTCTTTAGATTATTGGGGGCCTGTACTAGTCACTTTTGCAGGCCTTCCATTCATCTTTATGGCCTGTGGGAAATGTGAACACCTCTGCTTTACAGACAAGGAAACAGGTCTATAGAGATTAAGCAACTCAATCATAGGCATTAAACCAGTAAGTGAGTGATGAAACTGGAGTCCAAAACTAGGTCTAATGCTGAAGCCTCTGCTTTTTCTGCTAGAACACTCTGCTTCCCTGGTGGAGGAAAATAAAGTCAAAATGCCTCTAAGCCTATGAGCCTGGGCTCCAGGAGGACTTTGTGGTTGTGGACAGTGGTCAGAACCTGGGAAAGGGGACCTCTTGATGGACAAAGACTTCAGGGTTTTTGTTTTCATGTTGTTCTTAAATTCTGCAAATGAAAAAGGGCTGTGTGCAGGTGGGGTGATATCCAAGTAGGAATACCCTCCAGAGCTGGCAATCTGTGGGGAGAGGGAATGAGAACAGGGATGAATGCCTACTGAGATGCCATTGGCAGACAGATGGTAGGAACCTGAGAGGTGGAAACAGACAAACTCCTCTTAGGGTGAAATATAGGGGCACAGGATGGAGGAGACCCATGGCCAGTGGCAGCGGGGTAAGGGAAAAGGACAGAACAGGATTAAAAAAGCCCCTCCTATACACATAAGCACATGTGCATGTGACCATGCCGGACTCAGATGCTTCCTGGTGCTGGCTGAGATAATCCTCCTTTTCCACTCTTGAAATGAACTCAAAGCACAACTCCAATTTCTATGACCCCCCTAATAGAATTTCAACTCTTGTTCATCTCTATAACCCCCATGGTGTGTAGCATAATGGTTGGCACAGAATAGGTGTTAAATGAATGTTTGTTGAGCTGAATTGAACAATTAAAGAGATAGGAAAATAAAAACTATTTGGGGATGGCAGTTAATTGTTCTTTGTGAGCCATATCTTCTTCATTGTGAAATGGAATAATCATTGTTAGGGTTAAATGACATATGTAGGCAAAGAAGTTAGCAAACTCTCTGGAACACAACTGCTCATTAACTGGTAATTATTATTAGTTGCTGGTAGCAACTTGGGAGGTAATATAATAGAAACCTAAGGTGAAGAATTTCAGGAAAGAAGAAATGTTCAACAATTCCATGGTCCTCTGGAATTCCATGCCACAGTTGGCTCTCTCTCTTACACACACACATATACATGCAAACACACATGTACATGTAGGCAGTGAAGGATGTTAAGCAAAATATAAACCTCCTACATCGATAACTTACATGTTTGGGATTTTTTTCTCCCCTGAGTAGAAGGAGAGATTCTTTGTGATCTAAATTTGGTCCTACAGTGGATAGTTGGAACGATATCATGGTTGTTTCCACAGTTTTAACATCAAAATTGATCGGATTTTGATTTTCAGCTACATAACAGGCCCACCTATATGCTTTCCTGTTCCTGTATGCTTAATGGATTCTCTAAATAAAAGTGTGTTTACCCCATAGTTTGGTGGCTGCTATGGGAGGGAAAATGGTACCCAAGATTCCTAGAACCAGCAAGCATCACCAGCCCATCACAGACAAAAATCTCTGTTCCCTAACACAAAACACTCTCTGTGGTAAAACAAAGCAGCTATGTGGCAGGCCTACCCAACAGAGACTCACTCTCTCTTCAGCTGAGACCGAAGGCAGGCTGAGGATACCAAACAAAGGCCTGGCATCTGGAGACACTATTGATAGGGTGTTAAAAGGGTCCAGGATTTTCAAAGACCCAACAACTCCCTTTTATCATAGCATCCCCCTCCCGGTCAGCAATTCTCTCCTCACCTTTGGGCCTGAGTGTCACCCAAAGCCCGGAGTTTATCATCTAGAATGAGGACTCCAAGAACCAAGCCTCCTAGTTAGAGCTGTGGCCCAGCTCCCTTAGGACTCAGCTTTCCTGGAAGCCAGGCCCCGGGACCCTTGCTGCCTGCCCCTCTTCTGCCCTCCGTGGTCTAATCCTCCTATCCCCAAGAAGGGCAAGTCCAGACCTTTTGCCTTCTCCTCCAAAGTCCAACCTCTTGGGCACTGCTTCCCTCCCCTTGCTCCCTTCCCCCACCCCACTCCCTTTCAGGGCATAAGGGACCTTTTCTATTTGCAGAGCCTAAAGAAGCTGGTTGCCAAGGTGACAGGAGCAGGAACAGCAGGGAGCTTGCCATGGGGGAGGGGCTTTGCCCCCAAACAGCTGTCAGTGGGAGAGGTCCCAGCTGGGACTAGAGGCTTTTGCCTCCCTAGGAGGAAGCATCCCCAGGAAGACACATGCCTCTCTGCACCCCCAGGTCCCCACAAAATATCTCCCCTGGCTACTTTCCCTGCGGGCAGCCAGCCAGTCAGCTCTTTAAAAAAAAAAAAAGACTCCCATAACAAACAAAACAGGAAGTCTGGCTCATGCGCATTAGGTTCTCTCTCTCACAACCACAAGATCACTCTTCTCTCTTGTTCCCGCCCCTCTCAGCGTTCATTCACAGTGGGTTGGTTGGGCAGGAGGCCAGAAGTCACCTCTGTTTGGGGATCTGTGGAGTCCAAGACAGGTGCTGCTCCAAGCTGCCCCCCATCATATGGCAAGAATTATTTCAGACTTATTGTTCCAGAGACCCTGAGAAGATCTGCCACTCTTAAGCCTCCCCTAGCTGCCTTCCATTTGGGAGGTGGGAGTCAGGGCTTACAGAAAGGAAGAGATAGGAGAGAAAGGAAGAATAGGGTGATGGTGGGAGGCAAGAACAATGCAAAGCCCACTGATCTGTGTCTCTGGGGAGAGGGTCTTTGTAGTACTCTGTTCACAGCTGCTCCAGAGAAAGTTCTGTGGGGCCAATAGTCTCTGTACTGCATTATAGCCACATATTGCTAGTTTCAGGCCACATCTAGGCCCCTGGATCTCAAACCTGTCACTCAGTAGTGTTTACCTTTACAGGGCTCAAGAACAGAGAGTCTGCCACATGGCTTTGCAAACCCCAGTATTAGAACTTTCATGCCCTGCAGTCTTAGAACTCCAGGTTCTGTGAGCTTTGGGTTGGAAACAGGAAGGGTTGAGGAGCTACAAATCACTGTAAGAACTGAGAGGGGGCACCTGGCTTAATGATTCTGCCAGAGGTGGAACTGGATTTCAGTTTTGTCACTTACTACTTGGGTTATTTAAGTGTCCTATGTAGTAAGTTCTTGGGGAACCTCACAGAGCCTCACTTTTCCCAACTGGAAAATGGATAATAAGATCTACCCTATAGAGCTCTTTCAAAGGCTTAGAGAAGTGATGTATACAAAATGACTAGCATATTACTTACTAGACAATAAATAATTACCACAAATGGTAGTAGCCCCTGTCCAGTTTTCTTGAAACCCCAGAGATGCCTACCAGCCTTAGGAAGAAACCAAAAACTGTTTTTTCTTTTTAATGGCCCTTAGAATTCTGGGAGCTGGCTTACATTTAGAAAAAGCTATATTTTGGCCTGGGTAGGAATGGGATTTTTAGGATAGCCTGGGTTCTGATGTTGATCCAGGGCTTGTGGTTTGGGGGAACAGAGAAGAAATGTGACTCTGGGGTTCGAAATCTAGCCCAAACTGCCCTCAACACATTGTGAGATCCTCTAGTCTTTACTCTTCTGAGCCTCAGTTTCTTTTTCCATAAAAGGAAGAGTCTCTGGGGAAAGCAATGCCAGACTGTGAGAAACCTTTCCAACACAGAGCCTCTTCAGCCCAACAGTGACTACTAGAAGGCAGGGACTGACCCTTTGTCCTGGGTGATTTCTGAAATCTCAAAAAGGTGAATAAATGACTTCAACTCTTCCCCCTCCCCCTAGTTCAGTGCCACATGCTCTACCTGTGCTTCCCTTTGCCTTTCCCTGCTTTGCTGGGTCACTGCTCATGCTTCAAGGCCCAGGCACCAGCCTGGCATAGTGGTACACGTCTGTATCCCAGTCCTTGGGAGACTGAATTAGGAGGATCATGAATTTAAGGCCAGCATGGGCTACATGGTGAGATACCATCCCTCCAAAAAAAAAAAAAAAAGACTCAGGTGCCACTTCCTCTAAGACATAGCACCTCTGAGCTATCCTGCCTGACAGTGAGTTTGGCCATCTGTGTCCCCATGTACTGCAAGAGGATTACAAAATTGAATGGATTTGCTTGTGTATCTGGCTCCCTCCTTCTGCTCCTACACTCTCTTATGTGCAGAATTGTTCTATGACCATATTTGTTTCTTCTTCTTTCTTTTTGCGGTACTGGGGATTGAAACCAGGGCCTCACATATGCTAGTCAAGTGCACTACCACTGAGCTACACCGCCAGCCCTGACAATTTTGGTTTCAATCTAATGACAAGCATATAATAGGTTCTAAAGAAGAAGAAAAACAAAACAAAACATGTGCGTTACACTGAATTGCAAAATGGTCTGGATGAGGACAGAGGGCCAGTGGTTTTCTCAGGGATATAACCAGAGTGATTCTCTCTTTAATACCAAGCCATAAGGTCCACTCCTATATTTGTTTCTGGTTTTATTCCCTAGATTGATAAGTCTGGCTTCTAGAGCTCTTGGCAGTTTTTCCCATTAAAGATTGCCTATAACAGGCAGTGCTGGGAAAGGTTTAGCAGTCAGGGAAAGGAGTCTAGCCAAGGAAAACATTTATTCCCTTCCCAAAAATTTGCCTCATGGTAATCTGCTAGATTTTTTTAAACCTTCAAGATTTATTCTCAAGTGTAGCCTTCACTGGCAAACCCTTCTTAGCTCCTCTCCTCAAGGCTAGATGGCTCCTCTGTGCTCATACAGAGCACAGAGCCTAGTTACAATACAACACTGGTTATATTATACTTTCCCTACTTCTGTCTCCCCACTCAGACCGTGCTTGCCTTGATCTCATTGGTCTCTGCACACTCAGAAGTGGCAACATGACTGGCAATCATGAGTGAAAAATGTCTGCTGAGTGATGAGACAATAAACTTCCCACTTTCCATCTCTCTGTGTGGTTCTCCATGCTTCTTGCTAGACCCTGTTCCTTTCGGGAATTTCAAACTAGTTTAACTGCCAACCTCCACTCACTCAGGGTTACAAGCTGTGACAGTGTACTCCAAGATCCATCACTGTGCCCACTATGAAGAAGGACGAGCTGATTCCTATCCATGTGGTTTTACTCCTTACGGTTAAGACTAGAACCATGAAACAACATCAGGAGCTGCCAAGTACCTCAAGGTTAGGAGAGGGCAGAGAGACATGTGGCTGGAATCTTAGCAAGCCCATGGAACAAGGAAGGTTGAAAGTTCCTCCTGGCCTACAAACCAGGATCCTTCTTCCTGGAATCCTTACCTGGTGCAATGAGCGGGTGGGTAGCCACAGCAGGAACTGTCCGGCCAAGTCCAGCCCGGCCCTCCATGCTCCCTGGCAATGGGCTGTTGCCGTCTCCTTTCTTGAGTGGCTCCATTGCACTGTCAGTTATGCCAGGCTTGGCACCTGCAGGGGAACCCTGAGCAGTGTTTCTGCTCTGTAATGGGGTAGGCAGAGGCTGACTACTGCCAAGGGTGGGTTTCAGGGCCAAGCTGGGCAGGACAGGCTGAGCAGAGGTAGGGCCCGAGGCTGCTGCAGCTGGTGTCTGTTGTGTTCGGAGGGTCAGGTTCTGTACCTGGAAAAAAGGGGTCTATGAGAATCCAGAGAAAGTGTGTAGGAGCAATGCCAACATACAATTCATAACTAAGAGGGGAAGAATTAGGGACAGATTCAGGAATGGCCAAATAGGATGGTGGGTTGTAAAATCAGAGAAAGAGAGAGAGAGAGACAGAGAGAATGAATGTGTGTGTTGTTAGGGGCTGAAAGAGGAACCAGGAGGAGGGGTTTTTTTAAGAGGACAAAGAGGTCACTAGTGAGAAGATCCACCAGCAGAAGGAAATGAATTTTGAGAAGAAAATGATTCCCAGTCTGGGGCAGGCAGGAGGTCAGGGAGGCTAGGCTCTTTCCCTTGGGTTAGCCTCCCTCCCCCAAACTATCACAATTAGATACAAACCACTCACAGATAATTCCCAGGTACAGCAGAGCATGGGGCTTCCCATGCTGGAAAAAGCCAGGGAAAAGCGAAAGTTAACTGACAAGTAAGGCCACCAGGTAGCAAAGGATTAGTTTGTCCTCGGAATAAGGTTAACTCCAGGCTTTTCCCAGACACTGGCATGCTTATACAGCCTGGTCCCTGGTGCCCTCTGCTGGACACACGGAGGCTGTGTGAGACTCTGATGACCTTACTCCCAAAGTTCCTGCTTGTGTTCCCACTCTGGAGATGGGGTCGGCCGATGGGAGTGAGGTGGTTGGTCTCTGTTCCCAGCTGCCCACAGGCTCCTCACAGCCACACTGCACATGTGTACTCCCAGCAGAAGCAGGAACCCAGGACTCATTCTAGCTCCCTCTTCAGTGCCATTTTCCCCATTCCTAGCTGTGCTGGCATGGGTAACCAGAGGGATTTTCTACTTGCAAAGCAGCAATGACAAAGCAAGTTATCCCAGGGGTGAGGTGGGTGTAAGTAAGAATGCCTCAACACACTGCCCTCTTTTACTTGAGGGACTAAAAGGGGGTCAAGAGGGGCTGAGGCGGTCTGGACAGGAATTAAAGACACTGGGGTCTCCAGTCACATCTGCTTTCTTTGAAGAGTCCAGCCTTTTCAAAGGCTCAAAGCTCCTCCAGGGTTACCCATCCCCAGCATACTACCCATCTACAGGGCTGCCCACCCCCCTTGCCCTCCCACAAACATGGGGTCCTCACCTGGGCAGGGGTGGGGGGCCGGGCGGGGGAGCCAGTGCCGAGCTCAGGCTGCACAGTAGCGACGGTGGCCGTGGGCGTGAAGATGAGCTGAGGGGACAAAGGAACAGTGCCGCCTAGGCTCCTAGCTACCTGCACCAGGTTACCTGGCTGGGCCTGGAATCACAGGAAACGAGGTGCCTTTTACCTGCCCAATGTGGGATCAGCCACAGGGCAGAACAGTTGAGCCAGGAAGCACACATAAGGATGGCTAGACAAGTGGACTAGAGAGGTGAGAAAGAGCAGGAAACCCAGGGGACTGCCTGAAAGTCTCAAGAAGCTTGTAGCTTGCTGACCCAAGCTGGGTAGCAAGCCTGGGATGGGATGCAAGAGCTGTTCTGGGGCTTTGGAACCCCTGTGAGGGGCTCACCCTGGAGGGGATACCCAGAAGTCTCCTCAGCAACCTGGGGACATTGGGCAGATGTCTGAGGACCATTTTTCAGGTCTAAGCTGGACCTGACCCCTCAGTAGGGTTGGAACAAGACTGTCCTCCAGAGGGATCAAATCAGAGGTGCTCTTAGCTACTTTCTAGTCAAATTTTGATTCGGGGGTCTTAGAGGTGGCAGATGACCTAGAGCTACAATTGGTATCTGATTTTGTCTGGAGGGGTACAGGTTATGTGACATTCCCTGCCTGCACCTTGGTCTCCATATGGGTCTATCTCTGCATATTTATCCATGAGGATAAGCTGGGATCTGAACAGAGTGCTTTCCCTACAACTCTGTCCTGATACACTGGGCTTGCTCCTCTGTGCATGTATGTTCTACATTTGTGAGGCAGAAGACAGGTGTCAGGGCCCCAGAGAGGACTTTGAGTGGGACATGGGGACAAGTAAAACTGAAGGCAGGATTGAGCCATGTCACTATCAGTTCACTAGGGAAATAGAAATCTGTTTTATACTGTATCTATGAAGCATTCCCTGGGATTGGAAATAGCCTTAAACAATGAACTCAGAGTCAAGAACAGACGTGCAGGAGCAAGACCAGAAAAGCTCTAAGTGTCAAGTTCTGGCTACAAGAGCAAAAGCAGGAGCAGGACTACACTGTTCTTGATTCTCTTGAGTCTAGATGCCTGTTAAGCACCTAAGGACCACTGGACCCCTTAGGGACAGATACACAAAAGAGACTCAGGCATGCTGGTGATAGCCTAGGTCTATTCTGCCCAAACAAACTCACCTGCCATGGGAAGAAGGGACCCAGTGGGGAGGGCAGTGGTGACAATGGAAAGTAGCAGGTCCTGAAGTTCTATCCCTCTGGGCTGCAATGCACTTTTGGACCCTGAGCTGGAGGTCGCCAGTCTTTGCAAGGACTGTCAAGGGGGGAAGATCCCATTTCTGTGGAGTACTTTGTGCATCTGCTCATCTCACAGTCTGGGTATCTGAGAACTGGTGGGCATGGCTCCTGCACTATCCACCCTAGTTAGTTCTAGAGCAGTTTCTGACAAGGACAAAATCCTGTTTCACTCTAGGAGGAGAGGAAGGGAGGCATCGTGGGTGACCTTCTCAGTCTTAGCCTGAAACTCCTCCCTTTGGAGCCCACACCATGCTCCCACTTAGCCTTCCAAGCCTACCCTGCTTTATTCCACCCTCTGACTTTTGCTGCAGTCCCTCAGTGTTTCTTCCCCCTTTTCTAATCTCCCAGCTCCCACCCTCTCTGCCTGTGTCCTCTGGCCTGGGAGTCAAGGCCGAGACTGTGAGTACTCACCATCTGTGCCCTGAGATACATCTGTGCTTGGCTTGCGGTCAGGGCTGGAGAAGATGTGTTGCCCAAGAGCACAGCCTGCTGGGCAAGACCTGAGGCTGTGGCTGAGTTGACACTCTGAGCCCGGTTGATGAGCTGGGCTGCTGCTGGGGAGGCTGCCAGATTGATCTGATGAAAGAGAAACGTGCAGTAGGAAATGGGTGGCACTGGGGTGAACTGGGTCCACCTTTTTTTAAAAGACAGTGTCTTGCTATGTAGCCCAGGATGGTCTGGAACTTATAGTCCTCCTGCCTCAGCCTCCCAAGTGCTGAGTTACAGGTGTGTGTCACCATGCCTGGCTCCTCATCCATTTCTTGCTCTCCCCCTCTTTTGTTCCTTGCTTTATACAGCATCTTTTTGGACCATCTCTGGTCCTTGGGCCTGGGAGCTTCCTCAAGCAGTGCCCCATATCTGGCTTAGGTACAGAGCTGCAGGGAGGACCCAATGTTGAGAGAAATAAGCTAGCAACAGCACCTTAATATCAGAAAAATGACACAGTGTTAATGTAAGGACTAGAAAGAGGCATGCACTATTTTTCCCTCCAGCAAGAGCAGCGGATTTCAGCCATTACCCTACATGGCTAAGGATTCCCCACAACTGGGTGCAGGAATTCAACAGCATCTTAGTCAGAGGCAGGAGCCAGCTCAGAGCTGTGCACTCTACACGCTACTCCCACACCCTACTCACCGAAGACGCCTGGGCTGGGGTCTGTGCAGACACACTGCTGCCAGAAGTGCTCCCTTGTCTGTTGGCCACCAGGCTTGCCTAGAAAAGAACAAACTCCTGTCACTAGTGTCCCAGCCTCCCTACCCCAAGTTATTCTTAGCCCCTTATCTTCCCGGGAGCAGATTGGACAGTGGTCAGGAGAGCAGTCTCTGGAACTCAGCCCTCCCTGTCTCCTCTGCATGGCTTTGAGCAAGGCCTGGCCTCCCCTCTCACAAGAGATAATAATTGTGCCTACCTGGAAGGGTGGCTGAGATGTTTGAGCAAGCAGAGAACCAATCCCCAGCACTCTTGACTGTTTTACTATTGCCTAGTGTTCCTAGCTCTCCACCCCTCCCACTCTACCCACATGGCCCATGAAGCCATGTCAAGAATTTTGCACTCACTGTCTGCAATGTCCAGCCTATCCCTCTTCCTTTGACCGGCTTCTCAGCCTTCCAAGTGTCAGCTTCAACATTACTCCAGCAGACAGAGCTTCCCTGACTACCTAATATAATCATTTTCTCTGTCCCTCAGAGTAATCTGTTCTTCTCTTTCACAGTGCTTATCACAGCATGTATATTTAAACGGTTTATTTCCTTGTCTATTTTTGTTTCTGTTTACTTGCTATCTCCCTGCTCCAAGCTCCAAGGAGACAGGGTCCATAGAAGGTATATAAAACATTTTGTCAAATGAGTGAATAAATGTGCTCTTAGCCACTGGAAGGAGAGAGGGCAACTCCAGACAGGCATGTGAGCTGGGCATGCCTTCTTTTGTGAGAACCTCCTTGGACTCACTGCCCCTTTCCAGCAGTGCAGGTGTGGTTAAAGGGGCTCCCCAGCACTTCCTCTGTGGGCTGGCTAGTAAGACTGTAGCTGCTCCACTCCCTAGAAGTGTGGCCTTGGTCTCTGTTCCATCACCTGAAGGATTTGATAATAACAGTGCCTGTGCAGCAGGGTCTATGTGGGGCCTGCTTCCCTCCCCCCCACCCCTCTTTTGCTTGTATAACTTCCTCAGGTGCCAGTCCTTCCATGGCTTTTACCTGCTGCACAGCTGCCAGGCTCTGGAGCTGTGTGCTGCTGAGGTGCTGTTGCTGCAGGGCTGCTGTCTGCAGCATGAGGTGCTGCTGCTGTGCGGCATACATCTGCTGCAGATACTGAGCTGCTGTGCTGGGCTGCCTGTGCAGGGCCTGCTGGATCACCTGAGAAGAGTGCAAAAGGGGCCAGACAACCAACTTGTTGCAAGACACGTCCCTTCTGTGGTCATGCCTTGTCAATGCCAGCTCCCCAACAACTCCAAGAAGAACCAAGATCTGTGACCCCCACTGTAACACACCCCCCCCTCTGGGGGTTTGACAGACAGCAGTTTGTGGAGCTTTATACCTGTCTATTTGTCTGTCTGTATCTGTCTTCAGCTCCTCCTGCATTAGCAGCCGGCACTCCTGCTCTAGCTTACTCTTAGGAAGCAGAACCTCCTGTGCCAGGCTTGGCAGGCACTTCCCACACTAACTCTGCAGCCTCAGATAAGGGTGAAGTTCACAAGGCAGAGGAAAGAAAGGGGCTGGGAAGAAAAGCCAAAGTAGGGATCCTGCCTGTTTCATGTTTAGCAGTAGCCAGCCAAACTCAAATTCATGTGAAGGCAACTGCCTCCTCAGAAGGCAGGGGCTTCAAGGTGGATCTGGTACCACATCCCAGGTTCTGCCTGCAGCTCCCCGGAAGTCCTATCAGTCTCTGAGAAGATTGCCTTGGCCTTGGAGAGAATGCCAGCAACACAGGGATGGCATACTTTCCTTTGATTCCTCCCCTCTCTCTTCTTTGTTCCCTCTTTGTAGCTACTGTCTCCCATTCTGGCTTTACTGCTTATTCCCTCCTTATGGATTGGCTGAGCAGCAGTGTCTAGGAAATGAAAAAAGACTGCTTTTTGATCCTTGGCCAATCCCAGGAACAAAGAAAAGCAAATGTCTTTTTGCAGCCCTAAGACTGCCCTCCCCGCCGCCCCAGTCTTCTCCTCAGAAGAGGTCCAGAGGTAGTTCTGCCATCATTTTCCTGTCAATGCCCTGCACTGGCCCTGGCTGGGCTCCAGCTTACCTCCCCCTAACTGTGTGGCATCTCTGGTCCAGGGCTGCTTCTCACCCTGGGTGCTGCCCTGCAATTGAGCCTCTGGTGAGGATATTTCAACTTAGTGTGATTCTTAGGTGGCTCTAGGCAAAGGCTTTGGGTTTAGATTTGGGATTTTGTAAAAGTAGGCTGATATATATCATCCAAAAGCCCTTGCCTCTCCCCAGATTCCCTACCCCTCAATGCTTGCACACATTTCTCTGGTTCATCTTTCTTCAATGTACTCTGTGCTCTGAGATTCTGTTTATATGAACTCCATTCTTTTTAATCCCTTGCTAGCTTCAGAATCATTTTGCTATTATTCCCTTACCTAAGCCTGTTTCCCTTAGACTCCTGAAAGTGACTTCCCCAGCAGTCCATCAGCAGTAGGTGAGGTTCTACAATGCCTCCTCATCAGGGGGTGTCAATGAATGGAGTTAGAACAAGCCCCCAGTGGTTATTCCACTAACCAGAGCAGAAACCCAAAAGTCCCTTATGCCTACAGTTCTGATGAATGGTTAGGCACATTTTAATGCCAGGTGCTGGACACCAGAGCCAAAATACTCATACATGAAGGGGTCAGGGAAGGGGCTGAAGACAGGGGCAAGGTTGGGAGCAAGACACATGGTTTGATTAAGTGCTCGGCAGAGATAATGGGGAGGGGGGGCAAGTCCAGAGTATCTGTCATGTCTTCCTTTTTTCTCAGGCTTCTCACTGTCTGCTGTGGCTTCTCCCCCATTCCCTTATCTGGGCCTAGGGCCAATGCAGGATGAAGTCTCTCATCTAGTATATCCAAACCGTAAAAGCAAAGTTACTTAGAGTAAATATTTCTTGGTTGTGGTCTCTTATCTGTCCCTACCATCCAGGAAACTTCAAACAGATATTGTAGTGGATCACAAAAAATATCAAACAGTATTTGTTTGAGGTTCCTGGAAAGTCAGGTTCAAGTTTTTTATATGTTTACCTGAATGGTTCTACTCTATCAACTATAGAACTGTGCCTAACAATAATCATTATCCTAACTGGAGCAGATCAACATGTAAAATGCTTAGTACAGTGCCAGGCACAGAGCAAATGGCAGTACATGGTCATGACTACGTTTTAGAATAGTGTGTAACCACCTGGAAAGCCTCATGGATGATACTTTGCAGACCTTAGGGAAGAAGGAAAGAGCTTCAAAGACAAAGGACTGTTTGAGGCTTCTTTTTGTGGTTCTGTCTTTGAATTACCGTAGATTTGTTCCTCACAAAGCAGTGGTCATTTAGATGATGAGTTTGGGTTGTAGCTGAGCAGCTTCCAGTCAGTTTTGCAGTTGGTTATCTTCACTTGCCTGCTCTTTACATACCCTTTTCTCCCTAAACAATGTTTTGGGATCCACACCATTAACTTACTATTCTCCCTCTCTCCAAACTTCTGTGACTGGATCAATCTTGTATTACTTCCTTTCCTCTAACTATGCATACACATATATCCACTAACCCACTTCGTTTTGGCCATTCCTGGGCCATCTGGGATACTCCACTGGACCATGCCAACACATCCTCCTGGCTACCCCTATTGATGGTGAAGCAGTATAATCCCGGATCAATCTGAACCTTACCTGCACAGTCTGCCGGTCAGGAATACCACTGTACACAGAAATCGGGGGCCCAGTAGGGCGGCCACTGCCACCACTACTGCTATTGCTGCAGCCACTGCTGCTATTGGCCCCACAAGCACTGCTGGTGACACTGGCACTGCTGGACGTATGCGGGACTGGCAGCTCATTCTCCATGGCCGACAGGGTGGCACAGTCAGGGTACTCAGGTGGCAAAACAGCAGGTGGATGCTAGGAGGGAAGAGGCAGGAGCAAAATATTTAGAGAATGCCTATTAGAGGATGCACATGCTGTTAGCCTTCCATATCCCAGGGCTCCACATCTGTAAATTCAACCAGTCTTGGATGGAAAATACTCCGAAAATATTGTATCTGTAGTGAACATACATGGACTTTTTCTTATTAATCCCCAAATAATACAACATAACAATAATTTACATAGAATTTACATTGTATTGGGTAGTATAAGTAACTTACAGATGACTTAAACTATATAGGAGGATGTGCATAGGTTATCTAGAATTACGACACCATTTTATATAAGGGACTTAAACATCTACATATTTTGATATCTACAGAAGGTCCTGGAACGAATCTCCTGAGGATACAAAAGGATGACAATATTTGTATGTACCAACTTTCCAAACAGCCTGTCATGGGGTCACTTGTAAACTGACCCAACTTGCTACCAGAAGGACAGGGACAGGCTGGGTTCACTAAGGGAGATTTGGAATCAGATCTGCCCTGAAATTCTAAAGCTCATGATCTGTTCCTTCTGTCAGAAGAGATAAAACTAATCAAGGATGCAGCTTTCCTTATGTTCTCCCTGGCAGTGATCTGAGGGATCATCTCTCCCCCTATCGACCTCTTCATCCTTGGGATAGAGAAACTGAACATCAGAGAGCTTATTATACGTCCATGTGTACACAGTCAGATGGCGAGAGAGTAGGATTAAAAATCTAGAGAGAACAGAATGAGAGAAAGAGGCAAACGAGGAGGTAATAAAATGACAGAAGTTATTTATTTTGTTTTGCTTCAAAGCCAGAAGAGCTTTGAGTGAGTCTGCAGTTTTCTTTATTAAGTACTCAGTGAGTGCCCTTGGAATCTAATGGGGAATAGGGTGCTTCCTTGAGTAATTTGGAATCAGAAAGACTTGGGTTTGAGTCCAGGTTAGGCCACTTTCTAGCTGGGAAACCTTGCAAGTTACACTTGGCTGACCGTGTTTCCTTACCTGTCAAATGGCACAGTCTATGAACCGTTGTGGTGATACAAACTGCTCAGCAGGATCAAGGCATCTACTGGTGCCCAATAAACTCCAGCTTATTGTGGTTATTAATATTATCTCCAGTTTGGTTTCCACTGTCTGGTTTCAACAGCTTAGGCTTCTCCCAAGATAGAACCAGGGAGCCTTTAAGAACCTCCTGTTCCAGTCAAAAAGGAGTGACAGAAATTCCTTCATGGGCTATCCTGTGGTCTGGATACACAACTGGAAATTGTGTATTGTTCCCTTGAGGCTTATGCTTGGGATGGACAAGGCTTGGAAAGAAGGAAAGAGTTGTGGGGGAGGCAACCCAGATCTGAGTTCAAGTTTCTCTCTGTCTTCTTTCATGCTATCCTCAGAGCCTCATTTCTATGTGTAAGCTTTTCCTTCTACTCATTCCTTCCTACATATAAAAATAACATCTCTGTCACCCCATTACAGACATTCAATCCTCTGCTTCCAGATTACACTAAGTTAATAAAAGAAGAAAATATGATTTTTCACATTAATGAAAACATTGACTAGTGCAAAGTCAAATGTCCTGTTGTCATCTTCCAAGTTTTGCTCAACTTGGGGGTCAACATTCCTCAAGTTGCCTTCTTCAGACTGGATAGGTTTTACTATGGGTTATAAAAAGTATGGGTAAAGGTTTAAAGGCAGGAATGTTGGGAATCAGTAAACCTGAGCCATTCCCACATGGCAGGAAGCAATTTGCTTTGGCTTCCAAGGTGGGGAACCAGGCTGCAAACCATGCTCATATCTGGGTCTTTAAGCAGAGATTATCCCTAACATTTGTATGTCTTCTGTAACTGCTACAAAGACTCCTATTAATTAATTCCCTTTGCTCCAAACCACTCTGGGTTCTGGGCTTCATTATGGCTACTCTATTGTTAAGGAATATTTATGACAATTATGGTGATGCAGGAATCAATGACAATGGTCAACAAATATTTCCTGAGCCCTGCCTTGTTGAAGTCCACTTTATCTATGTTCCACAGAGGGAAGGCTAAGCTGGATGGAAAGCTGTAGAAGGTATAATTCCTGACCTTAAGAAACTGAAAAATTAATGTCAAGAGGAGACTCAGCTGCTATTTTAAGGATCACGGAGCATCAAATCAGTAAATGACAGTGCCGTGCAATTCTGTCCAAGCGAGATACCCCTTAAAATCCAGAGGTATTCTCTAGTTCAGTGCTTCACCCTCTTTCCCCAAAATGTTGACCAGAATTGGGGTTCAGTTCTCACTTTTCATCCCACTCTAGAAAATCTCATCTGAATTACTTGCAAAGAATAAAATGGGAAAACGGTAAACGAGGAGACACCGTGGCCACATCCTGTATTTTTGTCTTACAGCCACTAGGGCAGAGATTGTGGACAGCGTGTACTCAGTCAGTCCTTGTTGAAAGATAAAATGAGACAGCATTCTAAAGAGAATGCTAATGGCATTCCTTTGTAGAAAAACTGCACAGCAAGGCAGCCACTGCTCCCATGCAGGGCTGAGAAATGTACCTTAGTAACCTGAGAAACAGCACAAAGCCGCTCCCAGACTCTCTGTCCACCTGCCTCCTTTCTGCCGCTGGCCAGCATGCCTTCCCTATCTCTCACCTCTCTTCACTCACGTGTTTTTAGATGGGAATCTTCCCCATTAGAAGGTTCTGTCTTACTAGTCTTTGCTCCCCAGACCTACTTTTGTCCCTGGTTCCTCTCACACCTGCACTCATACTCATCCTTCCTTTCCCCATTCATCTCCTATGGCTACCTTCTTGCTGGCCCTCCTGCATGCAAATGCTCTCAGGAGTATGAGTCCGTTCCTTCCTCACTCTTGCTCCCTCCTCTCCCTCACTCTCTCCCTGCTTGGTGGCTTGGTTCAATAATGAGCTCTCTCTCCAGCCCCCTTACTGGTTCTCTCTGTGAAGGCTCCCTTGCTGCTCAGGCTCCAGTTCGCTATCCTCTCAGGATCTCTGTCCCCACAGGCCTGATCAAGCACATACCTCCCTCCCCCACCTCCTCTTGCCCGTATGCGTGTGTGCACATGTGTACACACACACACACTCATTTATGTCCTAGACAGTGCATGCTCATGATATGCTCTGCCTCTCAGGCACCCTCTGCCCGTGCTCATTCTTTCAGTAGCTACAGCTGTCTTCCAAGGACGCTCCCTCACTCTCTTAACTGCTCTCCCTCTTCACCAACCTCTCAATCACTCATGCACAGGATAGAGGGAAGGGCAGACTGACAAGAGCATCAGGGATTAACCATTTTTAAGTAACAGTAACTGCATTCATGTTGTGCAGTAAATCATCACCACTACCAATTTCCAGAATGTTTTCATCACCCACAATAGAAATTCTGTAACCACTAAGCAGTAACTCCTCATCCCCCACTCTCCTCCAGCTGAGGTCCTAGGAGCTTCTAATCTACTTTCTGTCCCTATAAATTTGCCTATTTTAGATACCTCATGTAAGTGGAATCATATAATATGGGCCCTTTTGTGCCTGGCCTATTTTACTTAGCTTGTTTTCAAGGTTCATTCATGTTGTAGCATGTGTCAGAAATTCATTCTTTTATATTGAATAATATTCCTGTGTGTGTGCACATATGTGTATGCACATTTTGTTTATCCATTTCATCTGCTGAAAGATATTTGGACTGTTTCCACCTTTTGGTTATGGCTATTGTGAATAATGTTGAAATGAATACTGACCCAAAAGTATCTGTTTGAGTTCTTGTTTCTAGCTCTCTGGGTGTTAAGTGGCAGTGAAACTGTTGGGTCATGTAATAATTCTAGGTTTGGGCATGTGAATATCCAGCTGTTACTGCACTATTTGTTGAATTACCACGCGTGTTTTAGGGCTTGGGGAAGTTTCCCCCTAAGCTGTTCAGGGTGTGGGTGAAGCCTCCCAAGTCTGACCCTGCTTAACCTCCCCCTCATTCCACATCACTTTCTCACACTATACTCCCACAGGGTTACTTCAAATGACCTAAAGTCTTGGACACCTTGCTTCTTGCTACCTCTGGGCTTACTGCTTTGGGCTGCTGTTCCCCTCCTCTGAAACACCTTTCATGTAACAAACACCTTAGATCTTCAACACAACTTGAGTCTTTTCCATGAAACAGGCGGTGAATGCAGCCTCCTCTAACTCTGCCTCCTGCTTCCTTTGAATTGGTCCAAATTTCTCTGTAAGCCACCCACTGGAGGGCTACTCCTACAACCTGTGGTGTTTGCCTCTGACCTAATATTCACAATGTAGTATTGCAAGGAAGTGATTTGCTTGGGGTCTGTCTTCGCCCTGGACTCTGCACTCCTGGAGAGCAGGGATCATATATTTACCTCATATACCTGGTGCTTCGTGCCATAAATGTTTATTGAGCAGAGCTGCTTGAAGCACACCCTGCTCCATCCTATCAGTCATCTGAAAGCTTAATTTACATCTCATCTACAGAATTTTCCCAACTAGTTTAAAACATGTACCACCTGTGATTTAATTTCCATACCTTCCACCAATGGTGTCTATCTATAGTAACAACAGTTACAAAAGTAGTTAGTGAGCACTTATGAATTGTCAAGCAGTATAGCAGATGATTTATATGTACTCATACACATAGAAACCCATTACATACTCATGACCTCCCCTTTGGAGTAATTATTAATATCCCAGCTTTGTCAGTGAGAAACTTATGTAAGCATCTTATTTAAGGTTATCACAAAACAGGTATGACTCCAAAGCCAGTACTCTTCCCCTTTACACACTCTGTAGCATCATCTGATCATAAGCCATTATTCTGGTGACAATGGGCACAGACCACATCAAAGCGTACCAGATTTTTAGAGCTGGAAATGATCAGAGATCAATTAATTTAATCCCCTAGTTATTAATGTCCACCAAATATTTTATACTTACAAAATCTCTCTATAATGAAACAGTTTAAGAAATCAAATATTACTGTGACATCCCTCATTTTTCCTATGTAAAAACTGAGGCCCAGTTTTGCTGGGAGTTACTTATTTAAGGTGACATGGCTCCTCTGACTCTCCTCCCATGGCCTCAGATGGCTAGAGCATGCCCTGAGCAGACACCAGAAGCGAGGGTCCTGCCAAATGCCACAATCTCATTGGTCTCTTAGGGAAAGGAACTTCAGTTTGGAACAGAATTAATCCAGAAGTGTGAATCACTACAGTAGATTTCAAACTTCTTCCATAGTTTCACTCCAACCTTCCTCCTGCCAAAAAGCTCGGCTGGTGGAAAACAGAGGAGGCCTCCTGGTGTTGGGCTACTGTGAGATACCTGTGGACTCTCATCATGTCCTGCCTGCTTGAGTCCCACATTAGAAAATCTGAATCCTTAAGCTTGCACAACCTCTGCGCTTTAAACCTTTTACCCACTCCTACTCAATTCACTTTCATTTCCTTGCTTCTCTTCCTTCTAACAAGTGCCTCATTTCTTTCCCAAGGCCACCCACCTCTGTGGACTCCCACTGTGAACCATAGCCAATTTCTCTAATGGTGAACAGCCAGAACTAGAAGTCTGTTTTTTTCTGGGTTCCAACTCACTGTGTGGTTTTGTGTGAACCCAAACTCTGCAGGACTGTGATTCCTATTTTAGTCAGTTTTCCCTCCGAACCACAGGGGACCACTTTGAATGATGTGCTGACTATAACTGGCTTGGATAGTGATCTTATTACAGGTCTCTGCGGCCCACAGGGCCTGAAACTAGCAGCTGGACAAATGCTGATGGTTCAGTCCTTCCAGGAGCCGCCAAGTCTAGGAAACACTAGGCCTTTGTCCCCAGGGTCAGGGAAATCCATTTGCTGTGGATTACAGCTGTGACAGTGTTCCAGGGAAGCAGAGAGAAAGATACTGAAAACAGAGCTGTCCAAACCTAGCATAAAGCCCTAGGGTAAGGCGGGGTGAGGGTTCTCTAATGGAATCAGGGCTTGGCAGGAAATGAGAGGTCTAGTCAGCCTCTAATGGCCGCTGCTGGTGTTATCATGCCATAGTGGCTTGTATGTGGAGTTTGAAAAAGCAGGGTAAAGGGACTCCTCTTTGGCTGCCTCTCTGAGGCAGAAGGCAATAAAAGAAGAGAGCTTAACTCCCTAGATTTAGGGGGCTGTAGAGGAGACCTCCTTCCAACTCCAAATTGCTGCCTGAGCGTGAGTACCCTGATTTGCATTGCTGAAAGTATGCCTCTAGCTGCAGTCTGAGGGGACTGATACATTGGGAACATGCCAAATCAGCTCTGTTCAAACCTCCTCAAAATGGTCCCTCCTATTCCTCAGTCCTTTGCCACCTTCAGTTACTCTAGAAACTCAAAAGTCAATAAATGAAGGCCATCAAAGACACAAGTGAAGGATGTGCAGATCATATTGTTCTAGCAATTAAAATAGAATAATTTGGGTTGGCAGAATGGCTCAAGTGGTAGAGTGCCTACAGAACAAGCATGAGGTCCTGAGTTCAAACCCTATATTGCCCCCCATCCCAAAGAGAACAATTTCATTTTAAGACACAAAAATGCAAATTGACAGAAATAACCTTTCCCTAAAACCATATTTTCTTCATACCTTATAAAAGACAGATTATACCAAGTATTTATGGTTCAAGCTGGTGCTGGTGGGTGAAGAATATGAAGAAGAAACAGAAGGATTTGATCTTTTTTGGAAGAGACATCGTTTGAGACACATTCCACAAAGGCAGAGTGGCAGGGACTGAGGCGTAGCGGTGAGTTAGTTTATGTAGACTCAGGCAGGTTTAGCTTAGTGTTTAAGGAAGGTGTGAACACATCCTGAATCTCCTACAGGCCCTTGTTCTAATATGAGTAGTGGCCTTATAACAGAAGGGCATGTAAAGAGACACACACAGGGAAAAGATGGCCATGTGAAGATGGAGGCAGAAACTGGAGCTCTGTTGCCAGAAGCCAGGGAACACCTAGTGCCACCAAAAGCTAGGAAGATGCAGAGAAGGATTTCAGAGAGACTAGTGCCCTGCTGACACCTCAAGTCTCCAGAGCAGTGACATAACACATTTCTATTGTTTTAAGCCACTCTGTTTGTGGCACTTGGTTGCAGCAACCTTAGCAAATACTAAATTATACTGCTTAGTACTAAACCAGACTAGCCTAAAAAGGGCAAATGAAACTGGTAAAAAAAAAAAAGAAGTAAAGACATAAAAATTAGCCTTGTTAACATAACAGCTTTGCTTGCTTCAAGACAGAGGGTCTCCAAATGTGGTCCCTTGGCAACTCCTCAAAAATTCCAGTTTTCAGGCCCTACTTCAGACCTATTGAAGCAGAAATTCTGGAAATGGGGCTCAGAAATCTGTGTCTTTACCAGCCAGGTGGGAGTTCAGATGCTCTTAAAGTCTGAAAGCTACTGCCCTAAGAAGGCCATTATCAATCCATGTGAGATTAAGAAGCAGTAGTCACATGTATAAGGTGGTCATCACGGAGTTCCCGAGAGAGGTCAACATGGAGTTCCTGAGAGAAGTTGGGGAAGGGTAAGTTACAAACAGTTTATTTCCTGTTGAAAATCCCCAAACACCTGCATGTGGAAAGGAGAGAATGTTTCTTGCTTCTCTCCAGCCTCATCACTCCATGGGTCCAGCATCAGTCACACTCTATCTCAAACCTTTGCCTGGATCTTTCCCTCAATCTAGACCATTCCTAATGCCTGCTTTCTACCTTCCTGGCCAGAACCCATTCATCTGGTGCCATACAGCTATAATTTCCACTCTCCTTAGAGGCTTCTCTTTTGTACCGCAGCCTGGGTTTGGTACCTTCTCTGACCTTTGATAGCACAGCAGGACAGCTGATTTTCCTTACTGTGCAGTAACTATTATTTTTAGATATTTATGCTTAACATAGTGCCTGTCTGGCAACAGTGAGTGTTTGTTAGTGAGCAATTAATAGGGCTGGAAGTTTGGAAGTTCTGCTGGAGCTTGGTACTCCTCCTGAGGAGTATCCCCACCCCAAGTAAAACCTTGAAGTACCCTGTAAAAAGACCACATTATCTGAGAAGGTACCTTTGAAACTCTCAGTAGACAGTAATAGCTTTACTCAAATTTGTTGGTCTAGATTTCTATGCTTAAGAAACAGGATCAGCACATATAAGCTTCAATTTAGAAAAGGAGTGAGAGCTCAGAAAATGAAAGAGGTGTTGAAGTGATGGGTATGGGGACCTGGTCACTGCAAAAGGCACATGCTTGGAGATCCTGGTTGGGAAACTTGGGTTCTAGACCTAACCACACCACTTACTAGCTGGGAGTGAAAAATCAGCATAGATAGAGATGAAACTATTCTACCTCCTATCTCCCAAAGCTTCTGCAAAAATAAACTAGATAAATAAAAGAAACTTTGAAAACTAAAATTGCACAGTGTCATGAGAGAGTTCAAAAAAGGAAGAAAGTTAAGTATAATGAAAATAAACATCACTAGGGCAAAGCACATGTGAATGCAACTCTGGCTAAGTTACTTAACCTCTTTCTGCCTCATTTTCTTCTTCTGCAAAATGGACAGAATAGTAGTACAAATTTAAATGAAAACACCCAAAGCTCAGGCACAGACTGGTAGGTTACAACAGAGATGATTTTTTTTTTTCCTTTGAGAGAAAAAAAAAAAAACTTTCTTCAAAAAAACTTCAAAATCTTTCTTGTTTCTAATGACAGAGTAAATTCTGTGATTTCGGTCAAATCCTTCTTTTTAGTCTTAGTAGAGCTATGCATTTTTGGGATTTTTACATAGACATCTCAGCAGCCAAAACTATAAAAAGACCACTTATAAAAATCTCTGCATACTAAACCTTTACAAAGCATATATGTACACACATGCATACTCACACCCCTACTATTTCTATAGCTTGCTATTTTCTGCCACTCCATCTTAGCCTTGAACTGGCCTGACGAGGGGCAGCCCAGGGTAGGCTAGTCTTTCTACCACTGATACTTCCTGACAAGCATAATTAAGCAGTCAGGGATCATGGGAAACAAGTGATTTCCAGGCTTTCAGAATAATTGTCCAAGGGCCTAGAGATTTATCTAGAAAGTTTTAAGTGGGCTTCTTTTCTCTTCTCCTGTTTCATCTGTCCCCCCACCCCCACCCCTACCCCTGTTGGAGCTCAAACCTCAAGTGCCCTTAGGTGTCACTTGACATATTGTAGCACTTGGGGATAGGAGTTTGTTGACTTTTAGGAAGGGTAGCTCAGGAGTCTGCTTTGGAGAAGCAGGGACTATACAGTGGGATGTCCTATCCTTCTTGCAGCCATTGGCAAATTCCCTCAGGGCTTCTTCCAAGAGTGTAGCCTTAGTTCTCCTTTCCATCCCCTATTTGGAGATAAGGTAATAGGTCTTTAAAGGGACCAGGTGCCTGGGATAAATGAGGAAGCCTCTTGTCATAAAGACTTTCATTTGGTATGTAAATGATCTTTTACCCACTAGAAGGCCAGCATACTGGGGCCTGGTAGTGGTGAATAGTAAAGCAATGATAGCACATTGACTGTGTGCTTGCTCAGGGGACAGGATCTCAGTTATTCCCTGATACAGAGATCACATCCTCATTTTTCCCAAAGAAACATGAAGTCCATACAGGCTGTATAACTTACCAGAGGTCAGAACCAGCAAACGGCAGGGGTAGGATTCGAAACCAGGGTTGCAAGTCCATGCAGCAGAGTCAAAATTACTTGTGCTTTACTCCAGTCTAGGCCTCTCTGGGCCAATTAGTTCTTAGGGATTTAACTTGGCTCCTACAGCCTTCTGTCTGATGGTGACTGTCTCACTGGAGTCATCAAGCAGTAGAGTTAGTCAGAGGCAAACCTGTCAACTTCATCTATCCAAGGAGCTGCCTGGCACCCCAAAAATTACACTTGCAATAACATCTGGGGTTTTATCTAATATTCATAGGCCTTCCCAGTTCCCAAGTGTTTTCACATATATTATCTATACATAAGGCTGGTTGCATCAGCACTGTTTACACAGTCATTTACAATCATTCAATTCAAGAGCAATAAAAACAAAACGGTGTTTTGGAGAGAAGGGATAGAGGAAGCCTACTTTTCTTGAGTGCCCACCATGTGCTGGGCAGTGCCAGGGAGGCAGCATGATTTATAAGAAAGAGGAGAAGCAGCCTAGTCAGAGAAAGCTGTTTTGATTCTTGCCTCTGACCCTGTTGGGAGACTTTGGACAAGTTTCTTAACCTCTACAGGCCTCAGTTTCACAGTGCTAGTAACATCAACTATTAAAAGCTATTGGGTGGAATTGGAGAACATCATTCTGAGTGAGGTTAGCCTGGCCCAAAAGACCAAAAATCGTATGTTCTCCCTCATATGTGGACATTATATCAAGGGCAAACACAACAATGGGATTGGACTTTGAGCACATGATAAAAGCGAGAGCACACAAGGGAGAGGTGAGGATAGGTAAGACACCTAAAAAATTAGCTAGCATTTGTTGCCCTTAACGCAGAGAAACTAAAGCAGATACCCTAAAAGCAACTGAGGCCAATAGGAAAAGGGGACCAGGAACTAGAGAAAAGGTTAGATCAAAAAGAATTAACCTAGAAGGTAACACACACGCACAGGAAATAATGTGAGTCAACTCCCTGTATAGCTATCCTTATCTCAACCAGCAAAAACCCTTGTTCCTTCCTATTATTGCTTATACTCTCTTCAACAAAATTAGAAATAAGGGCAAAATAGTTTCTGCTGGGTATTGAGGGGGTGGGGGGGAGAGGGAGGGGGCGGAGTGGGTGGTAAGGGAAGGGGTGGGGGCAGGGTGGGGAAATGACCCAAGCCTTGTATGCACATATGAACAATAAAACAATAAAAAAAAAGCTATTGGGGAAGAAAAGGGAAGCAGAACACCTAGCATCGAGTGCAGCACCAAATAGGCATTTGGTTAAAGTCAACCTCCTTTTGCCTGCTTCATCATGCCTAGCATTGCTTTAGAGCAGTGATTACAGAGAAGGAAACAGGTTGTGAGGGAGAAAGTAACCTGCCCAGGATTATGAAACTACTAAGCAGCATCCATCAGAACAGTCTGAATTTAGCACTTGTGTGCAAATTGTCCTGTGGCAGTACCACATGGAGAAAGGAAGACTTCTCCTTCCTTCCTTCAAACATTGCTTCTGATTCTTGACAATGATTGAACATGCTTTCAATCCTGGCTTGGATATAAGTTTTCCATCAGGCTTCAAAGAGTTCCATTCTCAAATTCTAGAAATTTTCTTTCTAAGAAAAGAAAAGAGAGAAAGAAAAAAAAGCCCTTCATCTACAAGTAAAATTGGCAGATGTGATAACTAGAGTAGGCATAAACCACTGTGTGTATGTGTGTGTGTGTATGTGTGTGTGTGTGTGAGAGAGAGAGAGAGACAGAGACAGAGACATGCTCACACACGTGCACTCATGTTACATACATGTGTTGGGAAGACGGGGGAAGTTAAGAGTCCAGAAGCTAATTAGTGACAGCTATTGCTAGACAGCTCCAAGCTCTGTATAGTACAGGTGCTTTAGAGATCCAGAGAGCAAGTAAATTTTAATAAACATTCTTCTTAGGGGTGTTTTTCATGCAATGATTGACTCATCAGCTCTCAAGGTCCTTGGATTAAGTCAACTGGACATTACACTGTAAACAAGTGTGTAACTTGAAATTTGAGTTTCCTTTCTCCACTCCCTAAAGGCCTCTCTGCTGTGGCCTGGCACACCATTTAGAGGATTCAGCCAATTCTGCTCTGCTTCTGCCCTTGCAACTTCTCATGGCAGCTGGTTCATGGCTTTGGAATCACAAAAAAATTCCAGAATTCCCTGAGTCCAGCTCTAGGGCCTCTGCATTATTTGGCCCAAATAATAGCCTTTAATTGCAATTAACATTCCTTTCTAGCAGAAACATACTGCATGTCTGTGGGCAGCCTCTGATCTACTGTGATTATCAGTCTACTGCTTCCTATCAAATATCCCATTTCCCTTCATTACCATAATTTTGCTTTTCCTCTTTTTAGTGTACCTATTGGCTTTTAGTTTTTTGTATTTCTAATCCATTCTCTACTATTTGCAGGGGAAATAGTAGGGAATCTAAATGGGTAAATTCCTCTCAACACTCCATCTTTCCAGTCAAGTATAACTCTATCCTACTTCCTTCCTCATATTTATAAAACTTAGGTAGCTAATTTTGGTAACTAAAGTAGGTAGGATGAGGACTACAGGTCCTCATAATCATTCTGAATGATTATTACGTGGTTGGTACTGAATGGAATATAAAATGAGTGAGATATTGACTCTGTTTTTAAGGAGTTAACAGTGTAAGAGGAGACATAAGAAAAGTACATAATAAATATAACAAGAGTCAGAAAGTTTTTTTTTTTCTATAAAGGGCCAGTTTATAATTTAGGTTTTGCAGACCACATATAGTTGCTATTGAATGTTTTTCTTTGATTTGCTCTCTTCCCATTTAAAATTGTAAATACTCTTTTTAGCTTGAGTATTTTACAGAAACAGGTTATGGGTAGGGTTTCACTCCTGGGCCCTTTTGCAAACCCTGAAGTATAATGAGTTGTAAACTGATAACTTTTAAATTGGGTCAGCTCAAGTTTCATTTGGGGTGGGTCTTCAAAGATGGCTTGAATGGGATTTTGGCATTCTAGGTGTAAGGAGATTATTGCCATTATACATGACAAGCATACAGCCACACCTGGATGCTTCCACTGGGTGATGAATAGCCATGAAGACACTGAGCACTTTCCTTTCTCTACTTGAGTTCCAGGTGGCTTTCCTACTTCTCAGTTCTCTTGTCTTGTCTTCCTTTCATGTTTCAGTTCCCTAGCAATGACCCTGCCCTTCCACTAGACCCCCCACACCCGCATACTTCATGGGCTTGCTACAACCCCAGGCAAGCTAATTGCTTTTTGCCACTCATTGTCTGCCAGATTATTCTTAGAAGAGAAAGTTCAGAGTGATCATCACCACCTGAGAGTTTATTAAAAATTCAATTTTTTCAAATACAAATGCACAATTTTTGGCCCACAGTGGCTCTCAAACTTTATTATACATCAGAATCACTTGGAGAGTTTGCTAAAAGATTGCTGAATCCCACCCCCATCTTTTTGATGCTGTTGGTCCAGGAACCAAAACTGTGACTGTTGTTTTAATGTATGAGAAAGCTGATGAAGAACTGAGATCTGAGAGAGAATGAGAGTCACTGTTGGAGAGAAGAGGCTTTGCAGGGATAAACCAGGTTTATCCCATTAGTACTTGTGCTCAGAAAGGGTCTTTAAGCCCCTGTAATTTAGAGGTAGCTTTTCCCTCCAGGGCAGGAGCTCTGAGTCTTGTCAGGCTCACCCAAGGAAACAGCAAGTCTTTGTGGGAGGTATAGTTAGGAGGATCTTCTTTTCTGAATCAGGATGATTGGCACTCAGCCTGTCTTGCTCATCACACATTTGCATATTTTTATCATTCCTACAAAATAGTTCCCTCAGCATTATGCCTGGGACTATCTCCTTCGATCAGGCAAAAAATGGCAGTGCTTCTATTTTAGCATTTAAATGAAATGGCTTCTAAAAACTCAGATGTGGTACTCAGAAAGGCTGAGCAAAGGAGAGAGAAAGAAGGGAAAGACCAGCCAGAGAGTACACCGAGGAATCTCAGAGGAGGCTATGGGCAACCAGACACACGAAGAGTCATTAATCTGGCAGACAATGAATGGCAAAAAGCAATTAGCTTGCCTGGGGTTGTAGCAAGCCCATGAAGTATGCGGGTGTGTGTGGGGGTCTAGTGTAAGGGCAGGGTCATTGCTAGGGAACTGAAACATGAAAGGAAGACAAGACAAGGGAACTGAGAAGTAGGAAAGCCACCTGGAACTCAAGAAGGAAAAGAAAAGTGCTCAGGGTCTTCGTGGCTATTCATCACCCAGTAGAAGCATCCAGGTGTGGCTGTACGCTTGTCAGGGCTCTACATGCTATTATCCTTGGACACAATCTTGAAAATGAACTAAGTGCTTCAGTTGTGTGTGCACACACATGCACATATGCACACACACATAAATGTCTTTTCATCTACCTGCAAAGTCTAAGCAGGCAGAAGGGCAGGCTGGGGATTGTCTGGATGAATAACTCGAGGACTACATGCCTGAATACTGGCAGAGTTAAAACCGGCAGTTCTAAACTTCAGCTTATGGGGCTCCCTTCCACATTTGACAGCATGCTTGCTTTTTTTTTTCTGCCATGTCTCATTCACATGCACTTTCTCATGTTCTGTTCTTTGCAGCCACTCTACAGCCATGCTAATGGATTCCTCCTTGCCTATACACACTCTCTGGACACATTCACTTATTCATTCTCACTAGAGGCATCCCATATACTGAACACTACCTTCTGTTTCTAAAAATCACTCCAAATGTCAAAGTTGCTCCCATAGCTTCTGTTCCTGCTGTCTGCAGGGCCCTGCCAGCTTTGTTGTTCTTACAAAAAAGGAAAATGTACAAATATTGGATTGACTGAGTAAAGAGCCCAACCCAAAGCAGATTGTCCTACCGTGGGATGCAGGTTTGTGGCTGTGGGGTCCCCGCCTTCAAGACCATCCCATTTATCTCTCTTTGTTCCACTCCCTCTCTCTTCCTGCACAACGCTGCACTCACACATACTCTGGGTTAGAAAAAAAAAGAGGACAGCCTA